CCGCTCGGCCGGGGGGGGGCAGCGGGACGCGCGTGCGGATCCCAGGCCCCGCTCGGGCTCGCCGTCGCCTTCACGGCCCGTCCCGCAGCCCCAAGCCGCGGAAGCCCGAGCGGGAGAGAAACAAAAGGTATTTGCTGACGTGGGCGTTGGACAGAGACGCCCGAGGGCTGGGGACACAATTAAAGGGGCAACGCACCGATTGCAGGCGCAGCCCAGCAGCTTCCTCCGCCGGAGCTCGCCCCGCAGCCCGGCTGCTTTCCTCTTCCCACGCCCACATGCTCCCCACGAGGGAACGCGACGCCCTAGATGCCTATTTCCACACCTTTTTGTGTAACGGGGGCATTAATGACCCAGATCCTTCTTGCATCCGTCCGTAGGTTCCTCAGATGGGATTTACTACTCCTGTCTTTCTTCGTATTCTTTTTTCTCCCTAAATAAGCCATACTGCCTCAGAGTCTTCTTTCTAACCCCCTCATCTTCTCCCGTTTAAGTTCTGTTGTCTCATGTTCTACTTCTGTTCCCATCATGGCCCTTAATAGGGCTTTGATGCGCCATTTTTTTTCTCAGCAGTTTGTTCTCCGAGGAACCATCATCCTGCCTGTATCTTGCAAGAACGAGGGATACTCAGTTTCTTATTTTTCATCCCAACCTGTAACCTAACAATGGTTATGCCATCCCACTTCCATACCTTACACACAGATGAGAAAATAATAGTTTTTCTCTATTATTTTGAAGTTCCGTGGACATGAAATGAAAGCTCCAGCTTTGAGTAAAAGAACTAGAATTTGGTTCATGTTTTATGGGAAAGCAGGAACATAGTGCACAAATGTACAATTACTGAATACTATCTGAGTCCACAGAATGTGGTGTTTCTTTGTTTAACAAAGCACAACTTGCAATTCTTTGCATGATTATCTGTGCATACTTTTTTACTTTTTCCAGAGGGGATCAAATAAGTAGTCACTTTCTCAGAAAGCCTTGGAGGAAAGCACAGCCCTCCTCATGTTTCTGCTAAAGGTAGCTCAAAGTCCTTTGGATAGCCTAAAGTCTTAATACTGACTTTAGTTATAGGCAGTCAAGTTACAACATTTCACACTTACAACATTTATAAATTTCTACTGTTTCAACTTTCTGACGTCAGTTTCGACTTTACAAGGCTTGATCTGACACCACCCCACACCAGCAAACAAATTTGCTCTGCCACCCATCTCCCTGGAGAACATCTGTCCAAACTTCCTTGGACACCACCTTTAAGAAAGCAGACAAGACTCCAGAAAAATCTGCAGCCAAGACTCCTGAGAAGACTCCAGCCAAAAACCCTTCAAAAAGTCCAACCAAGAGCCCTTCAACAAGTCCAGCAAAGTCACCTCAAAGAAGTCCTTCCAAATCAATACGATTGCTATTTATACTAGAAATACATTAATGTAGCTATATTACTCATCTATAATTGATTGAGTACAACATTCTGAGTTATTTTTGGTGAAATAGGGAATCAGGCCTTGGTTCAGGAACCAATCCCCAATTTGTAACATTGTTTCCTATGGGAAAATTGGTTCCAAGTTACAACGTTTCAACTAAAGGCAAAGTTTTCAGGAACCAATTGTGTTGTAAGTCCGAGGACTGCCTGTACTTCTAACAGGGTGCATCTACACATGCACTTTACTGTGGAGTCGACTAATTAGCTCTGCAGTAAAGTGTCACAGTCTACACATGCTCCGGTATTAGGGCACAGTAAATGAATGAACTCTGCCATAGTCTGGTATTGTTGGGGGCAGTCCTATCCTTCAGTGGAGTAATTACATGCACTGAAGTGTACATGTAGACAGTGACAGGGGCTGGCTGGGGCAGGAGGGTGCTAAAGTGCAGGGGGCTGCCTGCCACCTAGCTCCACTCTTTAGCACCATTGTGCCCCAGCTATCCCCGACACTGCCACCTCCTGGAGCCCAGAGCTGACTACCCCCTCCCCCCCCCCGGGCCCCTTGCCAGCCAAGGGTTGCTCTGCCACAGCTCAAAGTGCTGCAGACCCTGGAACACATACAGATGCTGTGCTCAGGAGCAGTTTTCTCCAGCATGAACTGTGCCAGAATTTATCATGTTACATTCTTTGCACACGTAGATGCACCCACAGTGTCAGTACCACATTATTCAGGATAAAAACCCTCTGAGTTTCTGTCTTCGGGTTTGACCACTTGAGCACCAAACTGTACAGGAACAGGAGAACTTAGTGTCATCACACTTGCCAGGGTTCAGAGTTGTAACACAAGTAGGGTCCCTCCATAGGTAAAAACAGCTTCTTAACTATTGAAGATTTGGAATACATTTCTCCATTCCTTTCTCCATTGGCTCCTGTTAAATTGGCTTAAAGGGCTGTTCTTCATAATCCCCACACTTTCATACTGAGTAAGGATATTAGACCTCAGGTTTATTATAAACATGCAGAGAAACCATAGAGGATGACACTCAGATTGCTATTTCCTGCCTTGGCTGCCTACCATTAGCCTGTACTCCATGCTTGTGGCTCTACTGTGCTCGAGGAAACCCTTAATATTGAGAACTGCCTATGTCCTCTATACCCTCCAGAGGAAGGTTGACTGTTTACTTGAGTTTACCAGATCTCAGGCAGGATAGCAGCCCCCCATTCCTACTGTTCAACAACAGGTTCACACTGTAAGGAAGCACAGTCTTCATAAACTTGACTTCCTCCTGCTGCATTATTGTCATTGTCACCCAAAGAAATTGTAGTAGCATCTTTGTAAACAAACGCTTCTGAAATGATGACAGAACGGTTCAGGAGTTTTTTAAAGTTGTTTTCTGAGAACACTAGAATCTCTGCTGAAAGTTGTGAGGGGGGGAAATTATAAGCTTCTACAGATATTATATATTTCTCTGCCAGAGAGAAAAGAAATGCCAGTTAACTAAATTGTTTTAGAATTCTCTCTTGTAAGAAAGAGAGACTGTAAGAAACAACACCCACTGTATCTGTTGCTTTGAGGAGATACTAATACAGTTCTCAGCATTTTAATTCTTTTATGTGCACCCTGTACCTGCTTTTCCACTTGTAGTCTACTAAATAAAGCTCCATTTCTCACTGCAAAGAAGGAGAGTAAATAACTACAGTCAGATTCCAAATGAGGATCTTGACAATGAAAAGTTCTTCTTTCCAAATAGGACTCCTCCTGTGCCATAAAGTTTTGGCATTCC